TCAATATAAACGTACCTTTCAAACTGCTAACTACCTAAAAATGCAAATACCAAAACATCTCAGGGAGGTATTCACTCGAGCCAGATTTGATCAGCTCGAGACAATGGTTAGATATGGGAGATTTAACAGCATCCCTTATAATGAACGGAGTTGTATCTGCAGGGCACCTGAAATTGAGGATTATAGCACACATATTATTTGATTGCAAATTGTATCAAAAGGTGAGAGACTTCCACCTTAGTCCATATATCAAACGGATAATGTATTGGGATTCTCACATCAGAACAACATATTTTATGTGTGGCCAAGACCCAAAAATAACATATAAAACAGCTCTGTACTTAAGCAAAACAATACGTCTGAGAACCACATATGTAGGGCTGATTGGGGTAAATTGTAGGGGTGATAATGAAATATGATGTATATACTCAGCTTAATCAGTTTATCAGTTTTATCATGTCTTATCATATGTACTTACTGTATCATTATAAGTGTCTTATTTTAACTTACTACGTGGAGTGTGATCAGGTCTTGTCAGGCCTTGTTGTTGTGTTTCTTATTGTGATATGGCCTAAGGGCTAATCAATAAAATTACTACTACTTGTGATTATCCCTTTTTTAAGAGAGACTGTTCCTCCACACAAATTTGTTGTGCTTCTATTAAATGTTTATTATTTTTATATTGGTTGCTTCAATTGTTAATTCAGAAGTCACCATGTTATGAATTACAAAAGTTATATTTATTAAAACATTTTATATAAGAAAAAAGCAACATCCTCACATTGTTTTCTTTTTTCTGTCTATGACAACAAAGACACAATGGAGATATATTTCATTAAAGCAGGATATATATATATATATACACACACACACACACACACACACACACACACACACACACACTGCTTTAATGAAATTGCCTCTTGTGTCTTATTTTTAATATGGCAGGTCACATTAAAATAAGTATGTCTGCCAATTAGCATTGCAAACCCCTGCTATTGACCTGGTACTGTACAATCTGTTATTATGTACTGTCCTATAGATCATCTGTTCCTCTTGCTGGTCTATTCCAATAAGAGACAGACAGCTGCAACATTATATCCCTGTTCAACCTGAGGACCATCTGAGTTTAATTGTAGTACACAGCTTGATGTGGGTCTGGTTATGAGAAGCCAAAGTATCACAGTGTAATAATCTGGAAAAGCAGAAACCTGCCAGGCACTGGGCTGAAACAGAGGGTTGGCTGTCTAGTTGGCTGATGGGATGTAGGAAATATGATTAATGAGCAAGGTATAATGATATCAGGAACCCGATTAGCACCACAAAAAGGTCACAGATCAAAGCTGTGTGCATTTTATGAGGTCCAATCATTGCAGAAAAATCTGCAGAGAGAACTGAAAAGTGAGAAATCTGCATGTGATAGCTTACCAAATGGGCACTTTAAACTGCTATCATAATTTATTGTGATCTAGAGAGTTGCAAATATGTAATATATGGTCACATTTCAGGAACTAAATACGTTATTATAAATCATTATTTTTTCAAGTGTTTAAATATAAACATATTTGTTTGGTTTTACTCGATACTTCCCTTTTTGTCATCTTAAACAGTAATGAGTCAGTGGACTGATAAGTCACTGATGTAATTACAAAGTACAACATATTTTGAATGTTGTAGAACTTCAGAATATAACATTCATAATCATAATTGTTTATATCATTATGTTCCCTTTGGACTCAATATGTATAAAAGACTGCATAATAAGGAGAAGAATCACTAGTAAAGTGATTATCCTTATCTACAGCATCACATTGATATTGAGAATATCTTGAGGGGTTTTTTTGAAAAAAAAAACCCTTTGATAATATCAAAAACAAATTGTCTCCCATTTCCAGAAATCTAAAATCTGAAAAATTCCTCAAAACTATTCTTTTTTTTCTTTCTTTTTTCCCCATTGCCACTGTCATTTCCACCTTTGAAGAAATTGGGCTAGTTACACATCTAGTGCCAAGTCTGCCCACTGAATTTTTCTCAAGGAGTTCTTGCACCAACATTGTTAATAGTTTGACAGGGGAAAGGGAAGGTGGACAAGGGCTTATAGGCAACGCCCGTAAAAAGCAGACATCATGTTAAAATATAAATCAATTTGTTTTAAAGGAACTGATGGGTTCTTTTTTTCCTCCTTCATTTCTATTTTCCTTTGTGATGCAACTTCTTTGGCCAGCAGGATAACACACTACACGATCAAGAAGAAACTTAAAAAGATGGAAACATTATACTAAAAATACATATATAAAAGAGATGAAAAGATGAGATTCATTCAAGAAAGAACTCTTTGAAGATGAGCTCATAATTTTAGAAAGTAAAGGAGAAGCTGCACTCAGGACACGTGGGAAAAATAAATCAAAAGGAAAAATGACATACCAATAGAGCTATTTCAAGATACACAGATAAAATCCATTCAAATTGTAACTAATATCTGCCAATAAATATAGAAAATAAAACAATGCCTACCAGTCTGGGAACGCTCAATATACACCCCAGTTTCCATGAAAGGGGACACTAGCTACTGTGGTAGTCATTAGGGCAAAGTAAGCAAAGTGATGTGAAAACAAACTTTGAACATATATGGAATGAGAGATGTCAAATGTCTAAGCAGGGTTCAGAAAAAGAAGAGGCACTAAGGACCATATTGAAAAGATACACTGAATAATGGAACATTAAAGAATTACAGAAGAATGTCAGCTTGTGCTTTATAGATTATAGCAAAGCTTTTTGTTGTATAACTGATGAAAAACTACGGCTCTATCTTAGATGAGGGACCCTAAACATTATGTGATTGTCCTGATTTTCAGCTTTTTTTTACTGGAAATTAGGATTGGTGTGTATAGAGGGCTTGGGCATTTTGAGGACAAATCTGCTGTGTTTACCAGCAGTTTTTGTTGATTTGGGGTATTTCAAGAACTTCAGGGGCTACATATTAGGGGTCAGAAAGACTGCATGTATCCTATGAGCAGCACTTCACTCGCCACAATCTAGCTCTACTATGTCAATTACGGAAGCTTTTTCCTCCCACACCTGTGACCATGGGACAACTTGAAAACCACTCTGTCCTCGGGTGAAAGGATATTTCGCTTCCCCCCCCCCAACTTTCATCTGGTAGTTTAACTTTACCCATTCTTTATTTCTCTTAAATTCTAACTATTTTGACATTTTGAAATGAACTGTTTCACAAATTTTATCTGAATGGAAGCATTAATATTATCCCTCCACAACTGCAGTTTTGATTTTTGTGGATTTGATTATTCTTGGATTGATTAAAATATTCTCACTAGGAATCTCTAGATCCCCCAGCATGACTTTATGTTCACTATCCAGTGGAGGCTAGTTATAGAGTTGGGCTGGAAGATCTATAAATGCCTACAGGGGGAAAAAAAAAACCTATTCCCAAGGAAGATCTGTGACCCTAACCACAACAAATGTGGAGGGATCACTGTATAAAGAAACCAATACTCATTGAAGTCTCTCTCCCCACTGAGCATATTTATAACGAAACCTCAGAATATTTCAATTACAATTAACTACCCTTAACCTAAACACTGCGGTGCACACAAAAGATCAACATAGCTTTAAATGGATACCAATGGAGGATCTAGAATAGATCTAATGGAAGTGTATGGAAGGAAGCAGCCAAGATTTGAATTGCAGCATTCTATTTTCTCTGTCAATGACAAATTGTCGTTGTTGTTGTTGCTGCTGCTGTTTTTTTTAAAAAAACTACATTTGCTTCAAATCTTATATTAATTGTATGGTAAATATGTTATTGTATTTCATTATTCTTAATATTGATTGAATTAATTTTCTATATCTTGTTTGTACCACTCTGGCTTACAAAAGGTGGATTCAGATCCAACAATCAATTTCATTTCAATGGGGCTCGCTCCCATGTAACCGAGTAAAGAGTGGTAGCCTAAATAAACTAGCTAATTAAAACTTCTTCCATTGTCTTAATAACAAGATAATCCACCTGAAATAAAGGCCTGGGGTTTTTACAAAAGATATGCTTGATTATTAGGACCTGTGATTTGTTATTGTGTGAAATGAGAATAACTGAAATAGGATATATGATATATTTAGTAAGAAAATATATTTGATAACAGTATGACCGAACAAGAACATTCCAATATGTTAGCAGAGCGCATAAAGTTGTTATCCCTATGAATCTATCTAGAAATGCTATCACTCATCTATTTTTACTCTGTACTATATTCAAAGAGGAGCGTGTATATCCGTGAAAGCTCATGCAAAAATAAAACCAAGTTAGTCTTAAAGGCGCTGCCAATTTTTTTATTTTTATCTCTCCTTCCTTGTATCAGTTTTTGTTGCCTTGAAAGCATGATCTGTTTTCTACATATCACCGTGGAAAAATATCTCAAGCATTAGATATCATGAGTACATGAAAAATATTAGTCTTTAACAAATAAAAGGCCTCTGAAATGTGAGGTGGAAAGTGGCTTTGAAATTTCACTCTTTTAATGTGTTATAGTTAACATGCATAAGCATTGTGACTTCCTTCAGAAGTAGCACTAATGAAATGCCTAAAGTGATATGCAAATACATGCAAATTTTGCCTCTCTCACTACTGTAGCAGTGACACATTTCAATGACTGTAAATATAAAAAGCCAAGAAAGGCATAAGAATAAATGTAAACACTGCATCAACAAAGCATTACAATAATGTTGTTAAAACATTAAGAAAAGTTTAAAAATGTAGTCACATATTTTGTACAGTACTTTCATAATAAATAGAAAGTAGAAATAAGTATGATGGTGTACTATCAATTTTTTAAATCACATTCCTAAACCCTAAAGTACCTTTTTCATTCCCAGCCTTCATAAATTGAAGCATTGCACCAAACAAAAGGACAAATATAATTCTCTCAAGGAAGACATTCTAAGCATCAGTTCTTATCACACATAGTAGTTGATTGCTATCTTACCAATCTATTCAGGCGAACAAAATCTTCTGGGGTTTTGGCCCATGGTGGAAGTTCGACATCAGACACAACTGTTCCATCGTCCATCACTCCAAGATTGTAATTATTGGAGTTGACAAATATCTCAGGGAGATAATAAAATTCAGGAATAAGCTCCTATATGGAAATGAAAAGCAGTGACATGTTATAAATTGGGTTTCTTGAAGTATCCCAATTATATGGGCACTAGTATTAATAAGAGACAGAAAAATGTAATGGAGAGTTATTTAAAACTTTCTTCTATCATTTTTGCCAGTGATCTAACATTTACCCAGCACTATAGTCAGCAGATGGTGAACAATACATGCCTGTAAATTAAATTAAATTAAATTACAATGATTGTAAAATGCAGAATAAAGTAATTTGCTTCTTATAAAACATGCTTTGATTTTCTAGAAACAGAGGCAATGTGCTACCAGATTGTAAATCATTATGAAAAACAACAGCACACTATTTGAACAACAAAAATATAGAAAGAAAGACATTTAAACACTGACTCGTGGAAGATATTAAACCAACATGAATTAGTAATTCCTTTAAGGCTATATATAATAATAACAACAACAACTGAAAATCACTTAATTTTAAAAGAGAGACTGGATCCCAAAATTTTGCTCAATTTTTGGAGTAGTTCCTCTATAAACCCTTCTGTGAAACAACTAGAAACAGATTTCAACTGGGCTTTCAAAGTTGATGTATTCTTTGTTGATAACTTTGAATTGTTGATAGTGTAACTATGGACATTTTAATTCAAAAACAATTGAACCTAGGCAGTTATTTTGCACAACAGGGCATTTATTATTCTGAGTACTGATATTGCTAACATAAAGCAAAATAACCTGCAGTTTACAATATTTTAGGGTGCATCTTAGGAAAACCTTTTTGTCTGTTGGAAGATATCTATTAGAAGAAGATGTAGAGCAGTCATGGGCAAACTTTTTTCACTTGGGGCCGCATTATGGGCCCAACAGAGAGGGGTGGAGTAGGAGGGAGGGCTGCTGGGCACACACTAGGTGGGACAGGGCCAGAAGGAAGAAGGCCTGTGAGAGGCTGGGATCGGGAGGGGTCAGAGCAGGGCCCAGGTAATTCTCAGGTTGTCCTCTTGACATAAGGATGGGGTTGCTCGCACCAACCTTATGCCAGGAGGAAAATGAGACATATGGCAACTGCCACTATCCTCCTCCCCAATCCTCCTCCCCTGATCTTTGAACTATCCTCTCAGCATTATTCCGGGAGGAAGGTGAGACAGGTGACAGCTGATAGTGCCCCAGAGGGCTCTCAGCCACTCCATGCCTTCATCAGGCCATCCTCTTGGCACTGTCCTTATGCTGGGAGGAGGATGAGACATGAGGTAGCTGAGAGCACTCCAGGGGACTCTCAACTGCTGCATGCCTTCCTCCCGCATCCTTTCTGCATAAGGGTGAGGCGGGTCACCGTGTATTTATGCTGAGAGGACAGGGTAAATAAGGAGGGCCTGATATAAAGAGAATTTGGCTGCAGGCTGTGTTACCAGGGTTGATTCACCTGATTTTCCATACAACATATCCTCAAATCAGTTCTAGAGAGTCCCACAACATTCTTGAGCAGTTGAAGACTGTAGGGAGGAAGAGATATTATTGGAAATAATCTCTCATCCATTCCACTAGCAGATATTTTCTATTAATATGTGTCCATCTCAAGCTTCAGAAGCAGCTTAAAATAACACAAAAGGGACAGCTTGTTCTGATATGTCTATGCATATACTTATTTGATTCACTGAGACTTAATGCTAGGTTTTGACTTAATGATTCACTAATGAGTTTTGAGGTTATGGACTCTGAACTTCATTTTGGAAATGAGACTACAAGGTCTGAAATTTGAAAATCTTTGTTTTCAAAACATTTTAGTACTGTACAGTCAAATGCCTGTCTATAAACTCTATTTCATCTTAATTATGGTTTACTGGGGCAAGTCAGATATATACCTATAGTTTGATGTTGCCTTGTTTCTGTAAGCCTTAACTGGGGTTGGTCAAAGGCAGGTATAATTGTGATGAGTTATAAAGGATAGCAAAATTATGTAAAGCTGAAACTTGCTTCAACTTTATTAAGAACAGATCTTTCTATATCCCCCAAATACTGTGTATTTTATCAAATGATATAAAATCGGTTATTTACTGTAAGCTATAAAAATTACTAAAATAAACTATTACAACTTTAACGTCCTAAAAAGCTATCTAATAATTTTTGTGGGATGAAGACAAAGTTAGCTAGGCTGCTTTATAGTAAAGAAACTAGCATCCAACTATGCTTTTTTAAACTAAAAAGATACAATATCATTATGTCAGAAAATACGGGCCATGCAAATGTTCACTGGTTAGTATTGATTTCTGGTTTAAAAAAATTCTACAATTAAAAAACATTTTGATTCTATTCCTAAAATATACAGTATAATGGAAATCTATATCAATGCCCCAGCTAATGAGAACTGTCTCAAGCTAAGCTAAACTAAGTAATGGTTTTTTGTGCAAAAATTTTCAATTTCTTAAAATTAGCACTTCATGTATGGAAAGATGTAATATTTGTAATTGCTTCAGGAAATGATTTCATAGTAAGTAACTGGTGTAAAATTGGTCTTCCTTTCAATAAATAGAAACTACTTGCTATTTAATAAGCAGAAAAACACGTTATATACATTGGCCTCAGTGACTGACTATGTCAGAGGCCCAGTAGATCAGATTCTAAATCCACTCTTGACATGGGTCAATGGATCAGTGGTCTTCCAGATACCACCCTCAGGGTCAACTATGGCCAGAACAGTTTTCCAAATAGCTGAGTGCAATGGCAGGTCATCAGATTATGGACAAGGTCAGCCTCGAGTTGCTGAAGCAAAGACAGGAAAAATCAAGGAGGAATTAAGCTATTATCAACTCACTCCTTTTGAGAAAAACTGCATGGCTATGTATCCCATATACAATCATGCTCATTACCCTAAATGTACTTAAAAATGTCTTTAAAATCTCCCAGAAAAAAAATTTAGGTACTTTATTGGCTAAAAATAAAATGAGAGTATTGGAATCCATTGACCTAACAAACATATGTAGAATTGACTTTAAATAATAGAGGGGTCTAAATTTAATTCTCATCTCACTTATTAGTCAAAGATCACACAAGGTCCAATATGCCAACTGCAAATGCATTATACAGCCTATCTGGATTATTATAACCGCATGGAAGATATTGTTCTAATGTTGCATAAATCCTATGTAAAATCATACTACGTATTTTGACATTAATATTGAAATCTGAAATACACACTGAAGTTTGCTATTTTAGATCGCATTACCATCCCAGACAAAAAAAAAATTCTAAACTTACATGTTATTTTTTTAATTCTCCAAAATAATTACTATTAAGGGGAACAAGCAAAAATGCATTTCATTTAATGGACCATTAATGGCATGTCGTATTTAATTTGCGTGTTTAGTTGATTGGTTTTAATCTGTTTTCTCTGCAGAACTGGAATACAGCAGTTTTTTAAAAAATAATTAATTCAAAATATTCAAACACACATTTATTGAGCTTTAAAGCATCTCAACAAATGATGTTAATATATAAGAAGATGTTCAGTGCATGCCATCAGAAACCATGAACATATCAAACAAAGAGATTTTGAAGGCCTGTGTAAACAGAAAGATCTTTGCCAGACAAAAGAAGGACAATGTGATTAGCCCAACCTCCCTCAGAAAGAAATTCAAATCTGGAAGCAGCCAGCAAAGAAAAACCTCCCTTGTGTACTCATCAAATGTGCCTCTGAATCTTCCAGGAGAACATGACTTTTGGATATTAAAATGCCCCATTTTGGTTCAAGAGCTCAAAGCTTACTGCTGACAACAAGCCTTCAATATTTTTTCAATGCAAATCATCACATACTGACAAAGATTTATTATAGACTGGGACTTGGAGATATATTCCCCACTCATCATATCACAGAACTTCCATGCTACAAACAAGTTACTCCCCTAGTGCAAAAATGAGCTTTGGGTTCCAAAAGCCCACAATTGTGTAAAAGCTTTTAAAGAGGTTTTGACCTTGCATGATTCAAATTGGATCATTAGCTGTTGCCCTGGAAACCTCGGCTGCTCTTTTGACTTTATTGTTATGCTATTTATGTAGCTTTTTTTATTGTTTAATGTGACCGCTTTGATGCTGTTTAGTTTTAAAATTTTAATTGCTTATTATTATGGTGCTGCTATTTGCCATCTTGTAACTCCCTATTGTGCCCTGTGGGGCTGAAGCGTGGGGTATTAAAAAAATCTAATCAATTAATTAAATATGTGAAGTGTCAAGGATCTTATTTAATTCCCACTTCAGCCATGTAGTGGCCTTAAGGCTACAGTGCAAATGATTAAGATAATGTATCTGATGAAGTCGAAAGTACTTGAAACACTTCCTTCACTTTACTTTTCTTTTTTAATGAACTACAATTTATTCTGCCTTACCTAGCATCTTTCTCATTGCTGAACTACGATCATAGGAGTATATTATCAAGAATTTATAAATGAACTACAACAAGAATACTAAATGTGCAAAGGCAAATATAATCCCATGACCAAGATTTAGACAGACAGCTAAATAATAAGAAATGCTGTGTTTTGCACACTCTATCCAAATGAATGCGGTGAGATCATATGCCCTAAACTATCAATATATATTGTGCAGCGTTTTAATGGTCCACAAGTACAATCAGCTCTAGATTCCTAAAAGCAGGTATCTCATACAAACAAATAGTTTGAAGAGAACCATATAGGCTGATCTTGACCACACAAATGTGCCACAAGTTGCTTTCATATGAATAAATTACTAATAGTGACAATGATTCCATACTTCTAATAACTGTAGTCATGATCAGAGCAGGAATAATTTAGAATGGTTGAGAACTATCCTATTCTAAATTAGAATATGCCAAATCTGAACTATCATACATATTCTACAAAATTCAGACTATTTAGAATAATGTAGAATAAAAGTGTGGATCATTTCAAAACTATGTTTTCTGATTGGAGGTGGGAGCAAGGATCCCAGTTTCATTCACTGTCAGAAGGATTTAGAAGAATTAATGTGATATGAAGTGTTTAT